ACCAGATAAGATAGAGGAGCCTGACCTATATGAGGTTGTTAAAGAAATGATGATTCATGGACCCTGCGGACATGCTAACCTCAATTCACCGTGTATGGAGGATGGTAAATGTTCAAAGTTATTTCCTAAACGTCATGCGGAAAGAACTACGGTCAACCGAGAAGGATATCCAGTTTACAGAAGACGTGACCAGCCTGGCATATTTGTAAAGAAGAATGGGTTTAAATGCGATAACAGATATGTTATTCCATACAATAAGGTGCTTTCCATAAGATACAAAGCTCATATCAATGTGGAGTGGTGCAATCAGTCGGCTTCTATTAAGTATTTGTTCAAGTAAATAAACAAAGGATCTGATCGAGTAGTTGTGGCCGTGGAGCCTCCAGAAGTAGCTGCGGTGAACGAGGGAAGCAGAGCAAATGTAGCAGCGCCAAATGCTGCTAACAGGGATGGAGCACATACCGTTAAAGATGCTAATGCTCAGAAGAAGAACGAGATTAAAGAATTTTTTGACTGCCGGTAATATGATATTTGTTTATCTGTTGGTTCTGATGTTTTTTTTGTTCTTATCTTGACGTTTCTTTTTGATGTTCCACACAGATTTGTCGGAGCTTTTGAAGCTGTCTGGAGAATTTTCAAGTACAACATACATTGGAGATCCGTAGGTGTTGAGAAACTCACATTCCACCTAGAGGGAAAACAGCTGATAACTTTTCAAAGGCAAGGATAAAATGGAAAAGGTCATCACACGTAAGCTTATCCACAATACCATGATGCTAGCTTGGTTTGAACTATGCAAGGTGAATGCGTTGGCGAAGACACTAACCTATGTTCAGATCCCAAATTTCTTTACCTACGATTCATCCAAGAAACATTTTAAAGAGAGGAAACAAAGGTTTTGTATTGGAAGAATCAATTATGGTCCAAGAAAGGTTGAAGATGCCTATTATCTTCGAGTATTGTTGGGTGTAGTCCAAGGTCCGGAGAGCTTTAATGATATCAAGACGTACAATGGTGTTTTGTATCCGTCTTACAAAGATGCCTGTTATGCTAGGGGTTTACTAGAGAATGACCAAGAGTATGTAGATGACATAGTCAGGAGAAGCTTTACGTGTACTCCTGCAGATCTGCGACAGCTTTTTGTCATCATGCTTAGTTCAGATAGTCTTACTTCTCCTGAGGTTGTTTGGAATAGTACTTGGGAGATGCTCTCAGCTGACATTGAATTCAATAGAAGACGGCATCTTAACAGACCAGGTATTACCTACATCTCTGCATTCCAATTGTTTAAAGCGTATTTGTGCTCTGACGAGAACAACCATTCTTTAAATTTATGTATGCAGCGTTGATATTAAGCGACGAGGATAAAAGAGAGTTAGCCCTTCAGGAAATTGTGAAGATTATTAAAAGGAATGGCGGTGATTTCAAAAGGTTCACAACGATGCCTAAGCCAAAAGGAATGAATCAAGATACAGACAATGTTTTAGTTGTCGATGAAACAAGCTACAATCGAGAGCAACTGAAAGCTGATCACGACAGAGATCTTCCGAAGCTCACGTTAGAATAGAGGAAAGTATACGATGATATTATCGGTGCTGTGTTGGGTAAAAAAGGAGGAGTATTTTTGGTTTATGGATTTGGTGGTACTGGAAAGACGTTCCTCTGGAGGATTTTGTCAAGTGCAATCAGGTACAGAGGTAAAATTGTCTTGAATGTTGCCTCAAGTGGAATAGCATCTCTGTTGTTACATGGGGGCAGGACGGCTCATTCGAGGTTTGGTATACCTATAAATCCTTATGAGTTTACGACATGTACTATGAAGAAAGGTTGTGATCTTGAAAACTTAGTAAAGGAAGCAGAACTTATTATATGGGATGAAGCTCCAATGATGAGTAGGCATTGTTTTGAGTCTTTGGATCGAAGTCTAGCTGATATAATGCGTAACACAAATGGAAAGCCGTTTGGAGGAAAATTTATTGTTTTTGGAGCAGACTTCAGGCAGGTACTTCCTGTGATTCCTGTAGCCGGAAGAGCTGAGATCGTATTGTCCGCACTTAACTCTTCTTATATGTGGAAACACTGTAAAGTTTTGAAACTGACCAAGAATATGCATTTGCTCTCCGGGTTGTTGAGTGAAGAAGAAGCATCTGATATTAAGGAATTCTCAGAGTGGATTCTTGATGTCGGCGATGGCAAAATTAACGAACCTAACGATGGTGAGGCAGAAATAGAGATACCTGATGAGTTCCTTATCACTGACCAAGAGGAGCCTATCGAATCTATTAGTCGGAAAATTTATGGGGATGCTTCTTTTCTGAACCAGATCAAAGACCCAATATTCTTTCAAGGAAGAGCTATTTTGTGTCCCACAAACGAAGATGTTGACATGATCGATCAACATATGCTAGACAAGTTGAATGGTTAGTTTTAATAGTATAGTTGAATGCAAGATAAGATATGACTCTAATGTTTAACATTGTCTTTAGAATGTAATAATTTTCTACTTCGTTTCAGGGGAGGAAAAGATATATCTAAGTTCTGATAGTATTGACCCTTCCGACGTAGCAGCTGTTAATGACGAAGCTCTGAGCACTGAATTTCTTAACAGTATAAGAGCATCTGGATTACCTAACCACAGTTTGAGGTTGAAGATTGGCTGTCCAGTGATGTTGCTTATAAATATTGATCCTATAGGAGGGTTAATGAATGGAACTAGGTTACAGATTACACAGCTAGCAGATTTTATGATTGAAGCAAAGGTCATAACTGGAGAGAAGACAGGAGAGATAGTTCTTATACCAAGGCTTTTAATAACACCATCGGATGATAAACTTCCGTTTAAAATGAGGAGAAGACAGTTGCCCCTTGCCGTTGCTTTTGCCATAACTATAAACAAGAGCCAAGGGCAATCTCTGTCTAAGTTGGTATTTTTTTACCAAGACCTGTATTCTCCCATGGTCAGCTTTATGTAGCAATCTCTAGGGTGACATCAAAGAAAGGTTTGAAGATTTTGATTGTTGACAAGGATGGGAAGCCCAAGAAGAAGACAATGAATGTAGTTTTCTAAGAGGTTTTCCAGAATCTTTAGTTGTTTTTCTTTCAAACATTTCCTCATTAGATTAAACCTTCACACTACAAACTTATTTTTTATCAGAAATTATATGTTGCCGAGGTTCATTTATATGTTATCCTCCCATGGGTTCGTTAGTGCCTTAACGAGTTATGGCATTTATTTAATCTACAGATCAATCTCTTTTATAAGCAGTAGACTGTTAAACACTTTCCAGAAAAACTATATTATATAAAGCTTCATTCAAAAAAGTCAAATACATTTCCAGAAGAAAACAAATACACTAAAAATGTCACTGTCTGATTCTTTCACTCTCTCAAAAGCTTCTCCCAAACTACGATACAAATAACAATATCACGGATGAAAAAGAGCCTCAGAAAGGATGAAAAACAACACTGTGAGGAAGGATCAAAAGAGGCTCAATACTATTAGGGAGAGGTTTGTTTCTGCTCCATGTTCACTTTTCAAATATGACATTGTCAATTCTGGATATGCTAATTCTGTTTGCCTAAATTTGAGGCATCTTTCTTCATTGACCCCGGTCTATATAATTGCTTGAGTCTTCTACTTCTATTGTCTCAATATCTACGTCCAAAAATAAGGAAACAAACCTTCATAATTAATATGGTTTACATTCTTCAGGACAGCTATATCGATATATTTAGATAAATATACACCTTCCAAATAATGATAAAGCCAATAAAGATAATAGAGTCACATAAATATACACATTCCAAATAATGATAAAGCCAATAAACAAGCTGTGTTTACCGTGACTTATATAGCAATAGGCTGAATTTTCGGTGAAAAGACTTCTCTTACATGGAGAGCTTTTGTCACCTCTAGGAACAGAACAAAAGCTGCCTGCAAAACATATACAGTCAATGGGCATCTCTTATTTATCTTGGAAACAGAGAACAAGTTACTACTCATTCAAAGGATTATACCAAACGGTCAAAAAAGCAGTGAATATCGAATTAGATTTTGAAAATATTGTCTTTCCCATCGAGAATATTATATTACCATTGACGGACAAGGAATTGACTATGACCTAACTCTCTTCCTATAAATAACCACACATAACATATTATGTATAAACGCAGCCTCATCAAATAGTTTCAAAGATGGCCACTATCTCAAAGATCTCCGAACTTACTCCTCACCGTAATGATTGGACAATAAGGGTTATGGTTCTGAAAAAGTGGAGCGAAATGGTTGATGGAGGTGGTGACATCTTACGGTTTCTGTTAGTAGATGATTATGTAAGTTTCTATATCGCTAATTATGAATGTTATGATACGATTCAGGCATGTAATATAATAAGAAATATCAGATTCATTGTCTATAACATTTTTTTTTTCTTTTCAGGGTGGTAAAATACCTGCAATTGTAGGTCCAGGGACAAATCTATATGCACATTTCGACGATGTTATGCATGAGAACAAATGGAAAATCATAACTGGCTTTAATGTGGAGTTTTCACCACCTGGTTTCCGATTCGCTGTTAATGAACAAACCATCATCTTGACCGGCGAAACAGACCTGCACAATGGTTATGGTGTTTTCAGAGACCACTACATGACTTCAAGAGATACAATGATGTCATGAATGGAGTCTATAGCTCACACTATCCAATAGGTATGTCAACAAAAATGTATTTATATGCACATAAACTTTCTTACATATCAATTATATATGCAGTTATTTGTGGATTGAATTGTTGTCTTAAATTATGCTTGGTAATTTTCGTAGATCTCATAGGCTACCTAGAAAACGTTGGTGAGTTAACTGTTGTGAGAGATCAAAGCTTTACGCTCTCTAATGACAAGAAAACAAACAGAGTTACATTCACGATTAAAGATTTGGAGTAAGTTTAACGGATTACGTTCAATTAGTTCATTTTACAGTGCCGAATTATAATGATTTGATTATGTTTCCGACTAACAAGTTTTTGGGACGTAATGTGGAATTAGGGAAGAGGTTTTGGAATGCAAAGCTTATGGTGCATTGGCTTTCCAATTGTACGACAAATGGTGGAAGCATGGTACAACCGAGACATTCATCAATGAGTGACTGGGTTGTTTACATGGACCGAAGTATGTACCATTACCTTATTTTTAATAGTTTGATACATTTAAAACTGCAGACAATAACACCTGGATTGATTTAACTAAACACCAACTAAATTACAATTTTCAGGAACAAATGAGATCAAGATTAAGGATGCTGGAGGTATCTCTAGGTTTGAGTTCAATGCTCCTTACCAGGACGTATATGATTTCAGCTCAGCATAGTAAGTGACAGATTATTTGACATGTTTATTGAAAGATATATGCGTGAATCTCTTTTTTGGTAAGTAATATAACTTAAACTGAAATGTAAATATCATTTGCAGTTTTCATGACAGTGATGGTTCTTCGGTTGAGATAATAGAAAATCTGTCTCCATGAACACAAGGTTCACTTCGACGAGAAACAGTGCTCTGAATCATTATCTAATCAAATACTCTGTTCCCGTTTGTGTGAGTGTTTTCAAAAATAATTTCTCCAGCCTATCGTTTTCTTTTGTTTCAGCTACTTAATTGTATGCTTCGTTATGTAAGATCTTTGAGATTTCGACTTCAATAATTAGAGATGATTCAATTTACCTTAATGTCTTCCAACGATTTACTTGGGTCAATGTCGATTTCTGGTATAAACGGATGGAGAAGGATAATCACCAACTCCAACAATACAACAAACAAACACACATCAAAGTCAATTAAACTATACATCAAATTCACATCTACTAAAGCAGAATACAAACACATATACCTGAATAAACTCCTCGAAATTCACTTCGAGTTCTCACGTCCACGACTCGAAATTGTAAATTCATGGTTGTGACTCATCTTAGGAGCAATATCAATCCGCGATTCGACCAGGTTCCGTCGTTACAACAGAAGAAGAGAAAAGAGGATATAGAATTTGATTGAGAACGAAAATTAATCGATTAACGATTTAGGGTTCGGTTGGTAAACGGCTCCCAAATTCGAAATTTTTATTTGCAAGTATGAGTAAATAACAAAACGATGTCACTTTACTTAAGGAGACATCTAAAGAATCAGCCCAAAATATCAATAATCAAGATTTTTTTTTTTGTTAGCCCAATAATAGTTTCAATAACCCGTGCTGTGGCAGCACGGGTCAAGATCTAGTTACTAATTATCACTACAAGAAAACTGAAAAAAATATTTTATTACTTTACTATAAAAAATCATAATTTAGATAAGAAAATAATAATAGTAAAGGCTTTGGCATAGCAATGCTAGCGCAAAAGCATGCATGTCTTACTGCCACCCGGGTTCGAGTCCCCTTGGTCACCTAGCCGCGCCCTTAACGATGGGTTAACGCATAACCGGATGCAAGACCAGGTTGGATTAGTCCTTAGGTCTAAAAAGCCTTTGAAAAACCAACTTTTTAAGAAAAAAAAAAAGCATGTATGTCTTAGGATCGTTTGTGTAACATTAATGTTTATGTTCATCACACCTATCTAGAACCGCGGCAACGAACAATAACACGTCCTAGGGACATTTCCTTGGCCAAATCCCGAGCAGCGGCCTGCCGTTCTAGGTCCTTTCCACTTCTGCTGACACCCCAATCGACATTCTTCGGAGTTACATATCCCAGTTTTTTTGTTAATTGGGATAGTATAAGTACACCTTTTTTTTCTTTGTTGTATTTGCCACTACTCCTGTTAATTTTATATTTGTTGAATCATAAAATCTCAGGTTCTGTGATAAAAAAACGAAAAATAATACATTTGTTTTGTGAAGAAATATATGTTTTGAGGAACTGAATGCATATCAGTAAAGACAAAAAATTAAAATATGGGTTAAAAAAGAATCATTGTTTTTTACTTTTTCATAACCAACAAAAAAAACATCACATTGTAATGTACAACAAAATTATATAGAGGTGATTTAGAATATCATATGAACATACATTAAAACTATGAAACCACAAAAAATTGTAGACTAATTCGAGATTAATAGTCTAATCCGTGTTTCCCATTTCTGTTGCTTCCCCATGTTGTCTAATTCGCGATTAAAACACTAAAAACATGATTTCGAAACAGTGATTGCCCATCTTAAACCCGAATTACACTTTTTACAAGCTAAACCCGACCCTTCTCTCTTAACCCGACACGACAAACACTTATCTCACATTCCAAATTGAAATCGATTTCGATTAGGGATTTAGGGTTCTTAAAACCAACATCGATTTGGGGGAAACGAAGATATCTTCCATTTTTGGGTCTTGCTCGTTGAAGATAAGCAGAGTTTCATTTGTTTCCTTTTTCAATGAGGTATATGTTTTGTTTCCGTTGGTTTGTTAGGCATGGGTTGATTGATGGAATCATCTGTTTAGAGTGTGATATTTATGTTTCGTCTTGTTTTACACTACATTGCTCAGGATTTTGCTTGATTTTCACTGCATTGCTCGATTCTATGATAGTTTTGCTCATGTTGATATAATTTGATATAACACATTTCCATCATTCTTTGCCTCGGTTTTGCAGTGACACTTTCAAAGCCAACATCTACTATGGAGGAGAAATGGAGATTAACGTGTTGGTTTCCCAATGCCTTGGTTTCGTTTTCCCAAAATCGATTTGGGTTGTAAGACCATCTCCAATGTATTCTCTTATTTTTCCTCTTACTTTAATGTTCTCTTATAATAGTGTGAAGTTTCTCTCCAATGTATTCCCTTATTTTTTACACTAAAAATGAATATTCAATGGTATATTCTTAATCAAAATTTAGTATAAAAACTTTTTATTTATAAGTTTTACAAATTAGCCCCAATTATTTTATTCTTTGTGAAAGAATCCATAAATTAATATATTATTTAAATTAAACTTTTCTTATATAAAGTAACTAAACTACATCATTAAAAATATCTTATTATATAAATCTGGATGCGCGCAACGTGGTTGCGACACGTAGAATTTTTATAAAATATAAGATTGCGAAATGTGTCAATCCGTTAAGATCGTGACACGTGTCTTGGAAAAAAAAAAGGAAAGAAAAATGTTAGAAAAATGAAAATTAATTTTTTTATATCTATTAGAATAAAAAGAAAAATCATATTTGTCATATCATAATAGAAAAAAAAGTATTTGTACTGTAAAATCGGGCTATTGGGTGGCTACACATGTTGTGCCGGATGAAGAGAGAATTGAACCACCACCAGGTTCATTAGAACTTAAGCAAGCGCTGTGGAAAATGAAAATAGCTCCCAAAATGCAACATTTCTTGTGGAAAGCAATTGCTGGGGCATTATCAACAGCGGAGAGGTTGTGCTCAAGAGGTATTAACATTGATCCTATATGTCAACGCTGTGGTCTTGAGGATGAAACTATCAATCACTTACTTTTGCAATGTCAACATGCCCAGACAACGTGGAGATGTGCAGATTATACTGTCTTCAATGTGCCTCAGGATGCACTTGAAGATAATATTAGGAAGATATTACACATCTATGCTGAGAGTGAAGCGTCAGATGAGGTACGAATTCTCCCCTTTTGGATTACTTGGATGTTGTGGAAATCAAGAAATGAAATGCTTTTTCAGCAGAAGATGAATCATCCAAATGAAGATGCAGTTAAATGGCTGAATGCTGTCTCAGAATGGGTCTTAGCAAATCCAGTTAATCATCATTCGAGTGTTTCTCATCGTGCAGCGTCTACTCTATGGGAACCGCCACCTATGGGCTTCATCAAATGCAATTTTGATAGCAGCTTTTCTCAGAATTCACCAATAATGAAGGTGGGATGGATCCTTCGAGATTCACGAGGAAGTTATATGGAAGCAGGATGGGCCACTCTACCGCAGGTGGAAACGCCTTTACAAGCGGAAGCATCGGGGTTCTTATATGTGGTTCAAAGGATGTGGTATAAAGGATTACGTCAAGTATGGTTTGAAGGGGACAACTTGGAGTTAACAAATATCATTAACACGGTAAGACAGAGTGTAGAGCTGGGGAATTTGTTATGTGATATTCGTCATTGGATAACAAAATTGCCACAATGCTCTTTGGGACATGTCAACCGGGAGAAGAACCAAGCTGCGGATGTACTATGTAAACATTACTTGTCTAATTCTGTTAATTTGTGTAAATTGTACGAAACACCACCTTCATGGCTGGTAAACTATTTGTATTACCCTTTCACATTTTAACATAATATAAGCAGATGTTACAAAAAAAAAAATAGAAAAAGGTTTTCCATTCAAATTTATATTATCTAAACACATATTAAATTCAAAATAATGTAATAAATAAAATCATATTAGTACATTAGCAAAAATCAGAAAAAGGAAACAAACAATTAAACGAAAAATATAACATCCATTAGGAAAAGTATAGAAAAAATATAATTCTATTACGAAAAATAAAAAAACGAAAAATCAGAAAAACATGATGAAATAATTAAAAAATATTACATCGAGTAAGAAAAGGAATAAAAACATATTCTTATTAAGAAAAGGAAAAAAAACAATATATAACAAGTTATATTTAAAATATTTTCTTTCTCATTAAGAAATCAAAAATCATATCCAATATTTAATCAGGTGATGAAATGTGTCAACAAAAGAAAATTGAAAAAATGGAGTAACATAAATAAATAAACTAATAAAATAATTGTAAAACAACTAACTAATAATGAAAATGAAAATTTATAATGGTTAGAGGCAAAAACAAAATTGAAAAAGAAACAATATAAATAGAGAACCGACAAAATAATTATCAAGGAACTAAAATATTAAAAAGAAAATTTTATAATGGACCGATCTTCTAATATTAAATAGTTTAGTTGGAAAATTAAAAAAAACATTTATCTATTAGAATAAAAAGAAAAAATCATATTTGTCATATCCTAATAGAAAAAGGTTTCCCTTCATCAAATTTATATTATCTAAACACATATTAAATTCAAAATAATGTAATAAATAAAATCATATTAGTACATTAGGAAAAATCAGAAAAAAGGAAACAAACAAAAAAAATATAATTCTATTACGAAAAATAAAAAAAACGAAAAAAATCAGAAAAACATAATGAAATAATTAAAAAATATTACATCCAGTAAGAAAAAGGAATAAAAAAAACATATTCCCATTAAGAAAAGGAAAACAAAAACCAATATATAACAAGCTATATTTAAAATATTTTCTTTCTCATTAAGAAATCAAAAATCATGTCCAATATTTAATCAGGTGATGAAATGTGTCAACAAAAGAAAATTGGAAAAATGGAGTAACATAAATAAATAAACTAATAAAATAATTGTAAAACAACTAACTAATAATGAAAATGAAAATTTATAATGGTTAGAGGCAAAAACAAAATTGAAAAAGAAACAATATAAATAGAGGACCGGCAAAATAATTATCAAGGAACTAAAATATTAAAAAGAAAATTTTATAATGGACCGATCTTCTAATATTAAATATTTTAGTTTCCATTTTTTTCTTAGGTAAAACAATATTAAAAATAAAGATTTCATCAATATTTAAAATAAATATTTCATCAATGGAATAATCAAAGTTTCATAAATTAATGAGTCATTAGATTTAGACACATGTAAGTTTTTCTATTTCATATAATGAATTCAAAAAGTGATCAAATTTTGTTTAATAAACCCGCGTGTACGCGGGACCGAATCTAGTAAAATATAATATATTATTTACTAGTTATCTAGTTTTTTTTCTCCTTTGTAATGAATAAAATATAAATTTAATCCTTTTTATAATATAAATTATGTCATTTTATAATATAATGTTTCATGATTAATTATAGTAAAATAAGAAAAAAAAGAAATAACTTTTTATAATTTGTTTAAGTTCAAAATAAGAAAAAGTGAAATTTGAAGGATTATTATGCAAATAAAAAAGATCAACATCAAAAATAAGGGAGAAAAAAAGTTACACTATATTTGAGGGGAAAAATAGTGTTCTCTTATTTTGATGGGAGAAATGAGGGTGGGTTGGAGGCACTTATTTGGGCCATGCATTGAACATGAACATGAATACTCAGGAAAAGCTTATGGGAACTCGTAACTTGAGAAGGGGAATATCGCCCCTTCAAACGGAGGTGGAGGGCACTTATTTGGGCCATGCATTGTATGCTACGCATAATAAATTGATAATGCGATTTGAGACGGATTGCTCTGATGTGGTGAAGATGATGTCTACGCCAGTGGAGTGGCCAGCGTTCGCAATACTTCTTGACGAGGTTGACCGGTGTAAATGGAGGTTTACCTCTTTCTCCATCGCGCACATACCTAGGACGAAAAACACGAAGGCAGACAAGTTAGCATGGAGTGCTCGAGCTTGGATTCCCGAGCTGATTTTAGAAATAGAGGCTGTTGACAAAACAAAAAAATGAGGGTGGGTTGGAAATGATTTTTACACTAAAATAGTGTTTAAGGGGAAAAATGAGGGTGGATTGGAAATGCTCTAAGAACATTAAATACTATTTTGCTCCAAATCGATTTTTATTTTGACGTTCTGAGGTTTTAAGTTGTCGTGTTGGGTTTAAGAGAGAAGAGAGATGAATTGGATGTAGCTTGTAAAACATGGTGTAATTTAGGTTTAAGATGGGCAATCACTGTTTCTAGATCGTGTTTTTAGTGTTTTATTCGCAAATTAGACGATATGGGGGAAGCGAAAGAAATCGGAAACGCGGGGTGACGCAAAAAAAGAACGGGTGGTTTCCGACAGAAAGCGGTTTAGTTTGGGGGGCTGAGAACTGGCAGCCCAAAAATAAGAGATAAACTCTGATAGTGAGAATGATTTTTGAAAGATATATCATGATATTCAAAATGATTTTTTTTTAAAATAAATTAACGACTATATGCAATTTATTAAGACGATTTAAAATGTAAATACAAACCTTATACAAAGAACGATGAAGATAGTAGAAATGGTTTCTTCATTGTAGATGATCGAAATGAACTGATGGTGTTTTCAAAAAGTTTGAAAAAGAAATAAGTTAGATTTAACTTTCATTTAGCATATCTAATTTAAGTTACGTTAAAGCTTTAGACTCGTTCTTTTGTTCTTTTTTTGAAAAAAAAATATTATTTATTTTGAGCTTGCATCAAAGACAGAGCATGAAGCCAAGATTCATTCTGCGTAACTTTTGTTTGCTTCCTCATTAACTTTTGTTTCCATATCAACGGGAAAAAAAAACGAATAACAGAAATTGCTGTAATTTGAAACAATGGAATATTTAGAATTAATCGCAATATAATCAACGAAAAGTCGAAAACGTATCGTAATAAATTGTTTTTAGATGTTTTTATTGTGCCAGCGAGATATACATGTAGAAGTTTAAGATCACATATTCACATGGGATCATGAGAGTGTAACTGATCCAAACAACACAAGATGCACATGATCAAACCATCTTTTTAAACCAACTATATCAATATTAAATGTCAACTAAAAAAGGTAATAATATATTTCTATGAAAAAAAAATCAATCAACCTTTTAAATTAGTACATTAAAGAGCAAAATAAAATATTTTTTCTAGTTTAATCGATAAAATAATGCTAGAAATTTTCTAATCATTCTAACATTATTTTTTTTTAAAAAGTCGACAAATTTGCATATTTACAAACAAAGAAAAAACCTAAGAAACGATTCATCGCCGTCGTGGTAATCCGACTCGACGGCGGCGATCTTAAGCTCCGCCGTTAATCATCATCTTCTTAAACTCATCGAAATTAACACAACCGTCACCGTCAACATCGACTTTGCTAATCATCCTCTTACAATCCTGAATCGAACACTTCTCGCCGAGATTCTTCATCACCGAGTGAAGCTCTTTCGCCGAGATCCGTCCGTTACGATCCAGATCGTACAGATCAAACGCTTCCTTCAGATCTCGAATCTCACCACCGCCATTGTTGTTGTTTCCGTCTTCTCCGATTTGGAAAAGAGCGACGAACTCGTCCATGTCGATGAATCCGTTGCCGTCGAGATCGAACTGTTTCATCATCAGCTTCGTCTCTCCCGGCGACGCCGTGGGACTTAGCGCTCCGATCACGTCTTTAAGCTCGTCGATCGAGATTTTTCCGTCGCCGTTTTTGTCGAATCGTTGGAATACTTTTCGGATATCTTCCATTGATCCTAAGCAGTTTCTAGCGCCGTTCTTCGACATTGCCACAGAGAGAGGGAGAGGTTAGAGAGAGAGAGGGAGAATCTGTAGAGAGAGAAGATTTCGGAATTGGAGAAACTGAGAAAGGAGAAGAAGATGGAGGTTGGTTATAAATAGAGGAAAGCTAGGGAGAGTGACGATTTTTAACGCGCTTTTGAAAACGCGTGGAGATTGCGTGAGATGCAGTGATTAATGTTAATTATGATTTTTTAATTGTATATAATACGCTCTGTTGCAAAAAAAAAAAAATAATTAATTTATTAGTATGACTTTACATTTATGGTTACGAACTTACGATTGTGTACTCAGATTTTTGTTTGAATAGGAAAGTAGCATTTTTTTTTTTTTTTAGAATCTAGTGTACAAGATTCTGTAACCAAAAAAGGAGGATTCTAGTTAGTTAATACGGAATTTTTCGATATTCTTTTGACTAGTAATACCTAAGTATCTTTTGATTAATACCTAAGTATATCTTTTTATTTTTATATTTTATTATGTTATTAAATCTTATATATAATTTTATTATACATATATATATATATATATAATTATAGTTTTTCAAGACGTTCTCAATCTTATACTTTTAAAAATAAATGTTTTCGTTTATGTTTCCATACAAAACATTAGACTAGAAAGTTGATAAGCTACGTAGCTGAAACTTGAGTGTGCCTCTATAAGTAAAGTAGATAGTGTAGGCATTTCGAATTGTTAGTTGACACGGACAAAGTCAGGCAAAACCTTTGAACGTATTTCATATATATATTATGTATAGGTTTCATATAATTTTATATGAATTTCAGTTGCGTCATGAAAACCTTTCTTGCAAGTTCAGAATTTGACTTCTCGATCCTTTAATCCTTTCCTTGAAACTTATAATTGATGAATGCGCTTTCTAATTTGTCACCAAAACGTCACCTAGAAATGTAGAAAGAGATAAATTCTTTTTTGTGCCATCCACACGCCAACAGAGAAGCAATACATGCTTAGGTATCAAATATTTTACGCGCGTCATCTTATTACTGATCCAGCCTCACTAATGCTTTCATTAATTATTGTATTTATTTTCTACTTATAATAAACATTGTTTATTCTTACTAGAATAAAGTTATGAATGAACATCCAGAAACATCAATTTATTTGCCAGCGGTGTACATACAAAACAAGAAAGATTGTGTCGATTCTTATTTCTGTGAGCCAAAGGACCAGCCATAAACTATGAGAAATACTAGAAAAAAAATAAAGATTGCTCATATGAATCGAGACATGTGTATACAAATCTATCAAGTCATATTATTCCTGTTTTTAATGAATCTTGAAATCTCATATGAGAAAAAAAAATATGTGAAGAAAACCTGGACTCAAGCTCATTTGTAGCTTGTGGACTCCTCTGCCTCGCTTTCTTGCAGTTACTCATCCATTTGTTTCAGATATAAAAAAAAAAGATAAATATAATCAACGTTTTTATTGGTTGTGCTTGAAACTTTGTTCAACACAATATCATATCGTCCTCCATTCACTTGACGATTAAAAACGCATATATGTATATAAACAATGTATGCTCTCTCTAGTTATACAATTTCTCTAATTCATAGAATAAAAATCAATAATTCAATTTCAATATAAGCTAGAAAATACATCACTCATACAGTAACAATCTTGCTGAGACCTACATTGCTATCATCACTCTTGAACCAGTCTCTGTCAAGGGTTTATGTGTAGTTTGTTGGAACTCATTTTTGATATGTCAAAATGAAGTTTGTTTGAATGAGAAATGGAGGTCCAAAGTGTATGTGTTAAAAAGTTTGTAAAGCTTTGAAATTTGGCTAAGTGTAAAAATTAGCAAATTAGCCACTTTGGTTTATGGACTTGAATTTGGATTTGGGTTTGAATTTGTTAATTGGATTTTATGTCCATTAGCTTATTCTTTAAAACCAAATATTTGTTAATCTTTTGTGTTTGTTTAAAATACAAGAAAGCAAATCCATTATTTCAATTATATTAATATGTGAATTTGTCAACTTATTAATATACTAGATTAAGGCCCGCGTATACGCGGGTATATTTTAAGATTTTATAATAAAAGCATGGAAAATATTAAACAAAATTTGATCATTTTTAAACGTAAACAAAATAATATTGAAAACCCGATAAAAAATATTTAAATAAAATAAGATTGGTAATACTTTTACATTTTTATTGTAATTGATTTTTCTTTTGAATTTATGATATGACAAAATGAATTAATTTGTTTTACTATTATTTTTATCCAATACAGAAAGACTTACACATGTCTAAATCTGATCAACTGATTAATTAATCAAACTTTTATTATTCCATTCAAGAGATTTTAATTGATGAAATCTTTATTTCAATTTTTTTACCTAACAAAAATTGAAAATCAAACTATTTAAAATTAGAATATCAATTATAATTTTTTAATATTAGTTAATTGCTTGATAATTATTTTGTTAGTTTTCTATTTATATTTTTTCTTTCTCAATTTTTTTTTGCCTCAGACCATTATAAATACTATATATTGGTATTTTTCCTTTTCGAAATGGATTTTTTTTTCCTTTCCTGTTTTTTTATTACTTTTAATGGATGTATTATTTTTTCATTTTAATTATTTGTTATCTGTTTTTCTAATTTTTAGTTAGTCTTATACATATTAATTTTTTTTATTCCATGACACATGTTACGATCTTCATACTTCCAGAATTTTTTTTTTCTAAAACACATGTCGCAATTTTGTCAGTTATAAAAATCCTATGTATCGCAAAACTTTCAAAAACATGATTTTTAAATTGGAGAAATGAATCAAAGGGATTTGATGAATTTGCTTTGATGAATTTATGATTGAGAAACTTGACTCTCTTTTATAGGGGTTCAAGTAACCTATTACATGCAGTTATAGGAAATTTAGTTTACATAACATATTCCATGTACAAATAGGATTTTATTTATTACATTATTTTGATTTTATTATTTGTTTGGATAATATTAATTTGATGAATGGAAACCTTTCTCTATTAGGATATGACAAATATATTTTTATTTCTTTTAACTGTAATGGATTATTTTTTAAAAAAAATTTCCTTTATCTAAATTTTTTTATTATTATTTTTTTTTTTTTTTTCTCTAAGACATGTGTCACGATCTTAACGGACGTAACATTAAAAGTGACACATGTCGCGATCTTATAAATTATAAAAATATGTGTCGCAACCACGTCGTGCGCATCCAACTTTATATAATAAAAAATTGATGAATGGAAACCTTTTTCTGTTTGGATTTGGCAAATATTATTTTTTCCTTTTTGATATAATAGATTAAATTAAATTTCGTTTTTTTAATTAACATTTTTCTGGAATTTTTTTTTTAAGTTCTCTTTTTTCCTAAGACACGTGTCACGATCTTAACGGACATAAACTTAAAAGTGACACATGTCGCGATCCTGAATTTTATAAAAATCCTACGTGTCGCAACCACGTCGTGCGCATCCAGCTTTATATAATAAAATTTGTCATTAAGTGTTATGGTCAAAATTGTGATTAATGGATTGATTATGTGAATTTCACTAGTGACATTAAAGTCCATTATGGCACCAACGTACATGAGGTTACGTTGAGCATGTTGGCTATAAAAGGCCATCTCCTCCTTTTTGTGAATTAACACATGAACATGATCATTATCATTCATACAAGAAAACAATCTCTTCACTTATCTTCTTTTGTTTTGTTTTTTTTTTCTTATGAGAGTACATCACATAAAATATGGTTCGCAAGCTTATGTATTGAGTGATGCAATCATAAGAAGTGTGTAGTTTTATCTTGGGATTCGGAACGCCATGCAACCGTCATACTATGGGGCGTTTACAGAATTAAGGAAAAAGATCATATCTTGACTCTGCAAATCCGGTTTTATTTCCTTAATTCTTGTTTTATTATATCATTTTAATACTTTACATTATCCATTGTAGAAATTGCGTTCCTACATAGTTCTCATGGCATCTTAAGTGGAGCACCTCTGCGGCTCTGCGTAGTGGCTAGTGAGCGTAGACACTTTACGTTGTTCATTGTGTTGCTCTTCTTCATTGTTGTCTATTTCTTCTTCTTCTTCCTATGTTTTTATTTTCTTCTTGATTCTTAGTTGCTTCGGAGTCTTTAGTTATCATGATTGAGTCTTCAAAAAAATAAACGCATATGTTTACGAGGACAATTTATGATCTAAAAAAAAGTAACCGAATTTTCTGATCTAAATGGTGTAGTCTTCTTCCTCGTGGTCAGATTCATCAACACTCGGATTGTGGTAGCTATGTATGTCTTCTACATACAAGAAGGAGAACAATAAAATTAATAAAAGGAAAAGCTGAACAATAAAATAGATAAATTAACTTTTAATTTACATATATCCTTTTTCATGTAGAGAATAGAAACTTTATCTATTTTAGAATAAATGTAAAGTCTTTTACCTATATAAGTATGCATGTTGGAGAGCAAAAAAAAATCATTCGATCAATTCAGAGCAATAAACTACTTTTTTCAGAATATTGATTCATAATCTCTCTGAGAAGAACAACTTTTGTTTTTTGTTTTCTTCTTTTTTTACAATCACAAATTCCAAAACAAATATGACTCGATCTTCTACATTCCTCGGAATGGCAGCGCCACCACCGCCGTTTGAAACTCCCACCAGTGTCACCATCAAATTCTATGCGGCTGTCTGCTTCTTTACATTATTTATAATATGTGGGTTTGCTTGGTTAGCTAGGGCCTGGTATCTCGAGATTCTCGACCGCCGTAAGTCCTCAGCCGTTGGAGAATCTCTGCCGCCCGCCGAACAAAGACCTCAAGAAGAAAGCGCTTGAGTCCTTCCTTAAATCCACCATGGCCGCCTCAACCGATTCCTCCATATGCTTAACGCAAATTTCAAAGAGAGCCGAAACAAGGCTTTATCCGTCGTCCTGTCCATCTTACCGTCGGATTTTGGTCACATCAATGATTAGCTTCCGCCGTTATTCTTCCTTTTAAATCTTCGTTTTTTCTCTTTTCTTTCTTCTTTTATAATTTGCAAAAAGATTATCGGCATGATTTATTTTACAATTCGCATAAAAGTAATGATTTTGTAAAAAAACCCCACCTCAAAAAAATGCAAGTCAAACCTCCAAAGTCACCCGCAATATAGCATTAGCCCTTTTTTTTTTTTTTTTTTTTTTGCGGGTGACTTTGAAGTTGAGTGGTTTGACTTGCATTTTTTTAGGTGGGGTTTTTCTTACAAAAATAATTTAGTTTGAGGTTTTTCTGCACAAAACCCTTTATTCTACAATTCGCATAAAAGTAATGATTTATTTTACTACATTATTATGATATGTATTCTCAAATTATATCCTCCATTGATTCTAACATAGTAACATGTTACTTAAAGATTTATTATTCATTAATCAAATATATTCTTGCAAATTCAGTTTATTTAAAACCTTAAAAGAAATTACTAAACTCAATCAAGAGACTGAATCTTCTTTTTTTACTTTTACCTTTTTAACAATATCACTTAGCCTTCATAATCTTGACAAACTCCTCGTAGCTAATCTGACCATCTCCATCAACATCAACTTCTTTGATCATCTCCTCGACTTCCTCATCGGTCATGACGTGGCGGAGCTCGGAGGCGGATATGAATCCGTTCTGGTCTTTGTCGAACATCCTGAAGGCTTCTTTGAGCTCTTCTTCCAAGTCTGTGTCTTTCATATTCTTAGCCATCAGCTTGAGAAACTCGGGGAAGTCGATGGTTCCGTTGCCGTCTGCGTCAACCTCCTTGATCATGTCTTGAAGCTCTGCTTCTGTTGGGTTCTGTCCTAGTGACCTCATCACTGTTCCCAGCTTCTTCGTTGTGATACAACCTGAACAATATCATATTAGAGTCCAATGCAGAGTCAGATTGATAATGCATATGAAACATGAATGAAACCAATAACCAAAATAATAATTCCTCTAAAAAAAAATATATATATATATATATATACACTGGTAGTAAACTAACAACCAAACAATAATCAAGATCCTAGAAATAAATTCATTTATTTTATTATTTATTTTTTGTCTTTTTGAAACTCATTTCAAAAGGAAGATTGCTTTCGCCAGAACATGCCTCACATTGTGACCCGTACATTAAAGATGGTTTAAGAACAATGTCATAGCTTACCAACTTCTCCATTGCTTGGTGAACTCGAAACAATTGTAATATAGATGAAGATAAGAGAAAAGATGCATCTAACTGATGATATCTTCATTTTTCCTATGCTAGGTTTCCAGAAGAGAGACGAAAGAATATTAGAATTTTGGTAGAGCTGAATTCTTATGAAGCAACTTCAAGTATGAAGATACAAATATGCATCCATATTTATCCTTTTATATTTCTCTCACTCAAGATAACAACTAATATTATTTTCCTTAATTTCTTCTTGCTTTCACCTTAATTTTCTCTAGTTTTCTTTATGTTTTTTTTTTTTTTTTTTTTTTTTTTTTTTTTTGGTAATTTTACCAAACTATTTAGTTGTGTTTGTGTAAGTGGGAAGGTACTCTTTGTGTGAATCACCAGTTATATTGTATTTAGTTGTAACTTTGTTTATCAAAACTCTATACTAGGAAGAGAAGTCTTTTGACAGTCCAGTGATTGTTGTAACTTCTTACAAGCTAAAACACCTCTTACGAAGAAGAAAAACTTATTAAACTAAATATTGGCCTTGGATTGTCACAGAGGTCGTCCATATGCTGAAATCAAATGTTATTACTCACTTTTTTAGCTATTGAAGGTCTTCGATGAAACATTTATTTTCTGTAAACGAAATAAAGATTGAACGCCAAGATTAAGAATTAAAGAATTAAAGAATTAGAGTAAGAAGCATCGAAGTTAAAAATAAGCTTGCTTATGTATCAATTGAACTTCGTGGAAATTTCAAAACTACACTTCTTGAGGTGCAAATTTTCAAAAATGCACCTCTATGGTGCCAATTTTCAAAACTAAACCTCTATGGAAAATTTTCAATTTTTGAAAATTTGCACCTCAAGAGGTGTATTTCATAAAATTTGTCTTCAACTTTGCTGTTGTGATAAGAATCGAAAATGAAATTATTCAAAAATAAGTCTTTTACCTAGCAAGTTGATACTATGTTAAGTGTATGTATTTTGGTTTGAGTTTATAAATTGTGTATTAAAACATTTTTCTTAAACGTGAGGAAAGAAAAACTAATGAGTTGTGAGTTGTCCAGGCCCAGTTTGATTTGTTGGTTTAACCCATTAACACACTAAAGAGTAAAGAGTAAGGAAGCGATTAGATTAAAATAAATGAATAACCAAAAATAAATTAATACCAAAAAAAAAGTATTAGAGCGTGTCTTGTCTTTAAGAAGTGGAAGAGTTTTCTGGGGGTAAGTCAAAAGTCTATTCTTTCCAGATTTGTATCAGAAATGAAGCGTTCTTCAGAAGATGGAGATGGTTCAAGAATCATTCAACCACAAAAGAGGAACCGAACACGCTCGGGAACGGTAGATCTTGATCGTCTTGATTGTCCTATATGCTCCAAGCCATTCACTGTCCCAATCTTTCAGGTACGCGTTCCAAATCTTGTATCTTTTGATTAAACATGCATGTATTGATAAAAATGATAGCTGAAACCATGGTTACTCAATTAGTAGTCGTAGCTAAGTCTTAAGACCATGAGACTTTTGTAACCTCACTTAGGGTTTTGTTTTTTTCTCTTTCATATTCTTCTTTGTAATTTGATGGCGGTGGAGATTTTTTTTTCTAAGCTATTCGTTTGTGGATAAGACTATATATCTTAAAAACCTAATTACAGAGATTAGATTTCTCTTTCGCCTGTATTGGCTATGAGAGACACTATAATTTTAATATCAATGAATTTAGAGATAAAACATTTCAGAAAATTTTACCTATAATTTTTTCAAATTCTTCTTTATTTCTTTTCATCATATTCATGTGCTCTTGATGGCTAATTGATATTAAGTGTTGATATGAAATTTGAATGTAACTCATTGCTCTTGAATTTCAGTGTGACAACGGACATGTAATTTGCGATTCTTGCCGTCCCAAAGTGATAAAATGTCCATTCTGTGCTTTGCCCATGGGTAACAATCGCTGCAGAGGAATGGAGAGCATTCTTGAATCAGTCACTGTCCCATGCCGAAACGCCGACTTAGGCTGCACAAAGTATGTTCCTTATGGGAGAGAAAAATCAAATCACGAGAAGGAACATTGCAAGTTCTCTCTATGTTCTTGCCCTGAGGCTGAGCTCGAAAATTGCAAACACACCGGCTTCTACAACGACATGTTCTTCTCCCACTACAGGGCTTATCACTTGATCAAAGAAGATTGTTTCTTCACTTTTGGTGAATCCAAGAACGTGCGGATGCTCATAAGCGAAAAGAGTTTGGTCCTCACAACGCTTCTCAGGAGTTTAATGTTCGTGATGCAATGTATCAGGGAGCGTAATGGTGTTTATGTGATGGTAAGCTTTGTTGCACCGTTGTCTCCGGAAGTTGAGAAGTTCTCTTATCGGCTCTCGTACTCTTACAATGGGAAGGAAACTCATACTCATGGACCGGTGGAGATGAAGAATGTTCTTAAAGTGAGTTTTCAAATCCCTCAAGAGGAAAAAGATGCCATGTTTCTTCCTAACAGGTTCTTGCGTGGCGATGAATTGGAGTTGGAGCTTTGTATTAAGGAAGTTGTATAATTAGGTTTGGTTTGGTATCTCAAGTCTTTTTTTGTTGTTCGGAAGTAGTTAGGTCTGGTTTTGCATTGAAGTCCCTTGGTATGCTCTTTTGACTTTTTGTTTTTACCATGGTTGACTTTATTGTTTCACCATGACTTTTTGTTGTTCTGATGTAAAATTATGCTACAACTCTCCTCTGGTTCCGTTTCTAAATGTGTAACTTAACTCCTTAATGTGTAATTTTAAGCATTAGTTTGTCTTAATTCACTTTTGTGGATTATAATCTGCTTTGAAGTCCCTTGGTATGCTCTTTTGACTTTTTGTTTTTACCATGGTTGACTTTTTGTTGTTCTGATGTAAAATTATGCTATAACTCTCCTCTGATTCCGTTTCTAAATGTGTAACTTACTTCCTTAATGCGTAATTTAAAGCATTAGCCTGACTTAATTCACTTTTGTGTTTCAAGATACAGATTTTTCGAATAACAGTTATTGTTGTTACTTGTGAAAGATTTACCAGCTAAATGATACCAAGATCTAAAGCATGCAAACAAAGAAAAGTCTCCGACGAAATAAAAAGATGTTCTTGCAAATTCAGTTTATTTAAAGACTACTAAACTCAATCAAGAGATTGAATCTTTTGTTTTTTACTTTTACTTTTTCAACATATCACTTAGCCATCATAATCTTGACAAACTCCTCGTAGTTAATCTGACCATCTCCATCAACATCAGCTTCCTTGATCATCTCCTCGACTTCCTCATCGGTCAGTTTCTCACCGAGGTTGGTCATGACGTGGCGGAGCTCAGCGGCGGAGATGAATCCGTTCTGGTCTTTGTCGAACACCCTGAAGGCTTCCTTGAGCTCTTCTTCCGAGTCTGTGTCTTTCATCTTCTTAGCCATCAGGTTGAGAAACTCGGGGAAGTCGATGGTTCCGTTGCCGTCTGCGTCCACCTCGTTGATCATGTCTTGAAGCTCGGCTTCTGTTGGGTTCTGTCCTAGTGACCTCATCACTGTCCCCAGCTCCTTCGTTGTGATGCAACCTGAACAATATCATAATACTGGAAATTAGAGAACTTGCAAGCAGAGTCGATATCAAACATGAATGTGTGCCAAACGAATCATTTTTGAACTTCAAATGTCAATAAACAACGAAATACATAACCATCAATGTATACAAGAGAATCTGAGCCTGAGGCCTCTGGATCCAGCTATTGTGACAAAAACCAACAAACAACTAAATGCGCAACCATCAATGGATGCTAAAGAAAAAACTAGAATCTGAGAATCTTTCAGTATTGAAAACACATGATGAGTGCTAAAACAAGCATGAGACTAAACGTTATCTGAGAATTTAAAACTATGGAACATGCTTCCTTAAACTGTGAAAAGAAATGAAACCAGATTGATATTGATATACATATGAAACCAGGACTTGTGATAAAATGTGTGACGAACAAATCTATTTCAGCTACAAAAACCAGCAAAGAACCAGAAAAATGACTAGAATCTGAGAATATTTCATAAAAAAACATGAAAGATGCTTAAACACACATGATTATTTGTTGAATCGCAGTTTCTGACATATTTTTCACTATTCTTCGTCTATATTCAACACCCAAAGAGAGAAAGAATCCACAATCAAATATCAAAGCAGATTCGAAGAAGGATCACGATTAGAGAACAAGATACAAAAACCAGGTTTGATTCGATTCGATTCTCTTTTGAAACAGTCACGTCAAATCAGATTCTGGAAATTGAAAGCTATAACAAGTGTAATTATCAATCAAACAGAGACGAAATCAGGCTCTCACGATAACAAACCACACGAATCACAGGAATTAGAGATCGAAAACAGCAAAAACGAGATAGTATCACAATATCTAAAGCGTATTCAAAGAATCAGACTCGTATTTTATTCGGAATCTGAAGCCGATAAAGCATCGATCGGAGATGAAATCGGAACAGCGAGATCCAAATGGTTTTCAAAACTACGATCCAAAGAGGAAGAAGAGATGAGAAGAGAAGAGAAGAGACTAACCATCTCCATCCTTGTCGAAGAGGCTGAAAGCTTCCTTAAACTCAGAGATCTGTTCGTCCGTGAGCTGATCCGCCATAGCTTTTTCTTCTCGGAATTTTGGTTCTCGCTTCAGAGACGAAATGCTCTTTCTTTTCTCCGCAGCTGTGAATAATATCTCTCAGTAACCGACAAAACAATTATATGACAAAGAGAAATAAACAGTCTAGGGACGAAAATATAAAATATAAAATATAAAATAGGAAATAGTAATACACTTTTTTTTTCCAATTAGGAAATACACGAAAATATAATCCTTCTGTAAGTACTAAGTACAGTAAAACCTCTATAAAGTAATACTCGATAAAGTAATAATCATTATAAGATAATTAATTCCTCCGGTCTCAACTCAGGCCAATGTAAAAATAAACAAAATGCGATAAGATGATAAGATAATAATATTTTTAAAACTCCTATGTAAAAATATGGTCCCAAATATAAGTTAAAATAATAATTATACAAAATATATATTGTATATGCCTAAGAAAATTATTAAACTATAGATTTAAATTCATCTCTAACATTTTATTATATATAGGGCAATTTTTCAATACATGTAAAATTGTTAAATACTCTCTCCGTTTTTTTAAGATGAATTTTCTAGACATTAGTTGTTGTTTCACAAAGATAAATTTTATACCTTTTTGATACACTTTTTCAGTTTTCAAGAAACAATAATTGTATTTGTTAGATTTTTATTGGTTAAAAAGTATAAAAAGTTGTTTTATTGCAGAAATCAATACACTAATGATTGAAAATCTTGTTTTCCTTAATATGTGTGAAAATTCTAGAAAATTTATTAAAAAAAAAACGGAGGGAGTATGTTCTAAACATATTATTTTCAACTTCATTAGTAGCTATAATTTTTATTATGTATATAATTTTATATAAATATTTATATAAACTAAACATATATATGTTTTTACGATATCTAAAATACTGTATTTTATCATAATTTCAAGTTTATATATGTCAGATTATTAAATGAAATATTTTGAATTCTTAATATATTATCATATGGAAAATAATTTTCGAAGATTATGAATTAAAAAATATATATGTTTATAAATTAATAAATATTGAATTTATTCATAAAGAAATATCTCTATAAGATAATAAATTTTCAAGGTCCCAACATTATTACTTTATAGAGGTTTTACTGTACAGATATACACAAAATATAAAATAGGAAATACACAAAAATATAAAATAGATAATACAAATTCTGTAAAGAAAAATTCCTTGTAAAAGCTGTAAAAAAAAAAGATATAAAAACATATCATATCACTAAAGAGGATAGTTTATCTTAATTAGTATCATATTTTAATGGAAAATGCAAATTACTTTTGTATAAAAAAATTTAGATTAAAACAATCCTGGATTATACTGTTTTTTCATTATTTGTAGTTCGAAGTGATACATATAAAAGAAAATAAGAAACTATTATGTTGTAAACCAGTTTTATGAAAAAATAAGTCTGTTTTTTCAAGCGGATTGATGGTCATCTGAACAAAAATGGTTAAATCAATAAAAATGTTTTAGTGTTTTATGTCCACAACTCTTTAAACTCTATAAAATTAAAAGTAAAATTAAAATTTATGTACATACCGAGAAAGTTTGTAAGAGAAAATGTTTTCCAATTTTTGTCTTTGACAATATAGGTGGTCGGATTTTGGGCATACGCCAAACTGCTGGCTAGAAACAAGCATAACACTGATATGACTATAGCGATTGGAAATGTAGTTGTTGATGTTGACCAAGCCATTTGGGTCATTGGGTTTCAAAGTGTTTATGTGAACTATGCAGTAGATAAAATATTTTTGGATGACTATGGTTTTAGGTTATTAGGCTTACCGTTTTATATATAGACAATTCTTGAAAATAACTTTACGATGTCTTTCATAGATGTCTTTTTCTATGGAGGAAATATACATATATTTATTGGTTATGCAACAGACAAAAATACGGAAGGAATCCATTGATGAGAAAATCTAAGGAGATTAAATTGGATTTTGTAACGTATGTATTATTATTGGCTTTATAAATTAATAAACTGAGAAGATTTTGTAAATTAAGTAACGTATGTAACTAACACCCGTAGAATCTAAGGAGATTAAATCTGGGACTTGTCACATATGCCAGTTTCAACTTTCATGAATCTAAACAAAGGAATTTGAGGAACTTACAAATCACTTTCCAGTTTCTTTCCAATCTTAAGAAAACTTTCGTCAATTATCCAGATATCTTCAGCCGAGAGTTCTCCTTTTGCCAATTGAGTTATTCTTTAATTAGAAACATCAACAAGAAACATTCCAAGGGAAATTAGGGAAAGTTTATTTATTTGAGATAAAAATAAAACTATTCATCCAATATTTAATTCTTGCTCTGATTAAGCTGATGATTGGTTCTCCCGCTACCACCCGCAAACGCAGCGTTTGCGGTTCGTACGACGACAACCGCTTTCAACCGCTCTATACCACTCTGTACCGCTCTATATCGCTGAAATCAAAAGCTCCTTTCCGCAAGCGTTTGCGGTTGCGGGCGGTTGCGGTTTGAAAAAAAAAAAAAAAACATAATATCTCCAAATTTGGAATAAGGGTATATTTTTTTGAAAAATACCATAATTATGTTTAAAAATTTCGAAAATACCCTAAATTTTTTCTGTTTTGAAAAATACACTTTTAAAATGTAAAAAGTATGTTTTGACGTGATTTAAACAAAAAATAATAAATAATTACAAATTATAAACGAAAATTAAAAAAATAATAAATTAAGTTTTTTTTCAAATAAATATAGTATATGTTAAACTGAAACAAATTTTAATATTTTGGATCTTTATATAAACAACTTAACCTCATACACATTCAAACCAAATGAAACTTTAAATAAATTAAAACTTTACATATATTTAAAGTTTATAAATTATTAAAAATTTAAAAGTGGAGAAATATATCTTTCATTTTTAATGTTTATCTTTTGAAAAATTTAAATATTTTTGAAACTTTGCATAAACAACTTTAATCTCACCCCATTTAAACTTTATATAAACAATCTTATATTTTTATTAAATTGTTTAAAAAAAAACTAAACAGGTAATTAGGATGTTAAAATGATACAAAATTATTATCAAATATTAATATTTTATATTTCTTATTTGAATTTCGTTTTTATTAAATTAGGAATAATCATTTTACATATAAAAAGTGTATTTTTCAAAACCAAAAAAAAAGGGTAGTTTTCAAATTAAAAATTCATCAAAAAATATATTTCAAAAAAAAAATTATTAATATGGTTATAAATGTTTTGAATAATTATATATTATTTTTATTTTAGTAACTTTTGGTTAAACCGCTCTTGCACCCGCTGGCTAACCAGTCAAAAATATCCCGCAAACGCAACCGCTATGAATTGCTATACCAGTCGTACAAACAGCTTTTAATCGCAAACTCCCGCTTCCGCAAACTCCCGCAGCCGCAAACTCCCGCAACCGCAACCGCAGCGGTTAAACCAGTCAGGCCCTAAAGTGAAAGGGGTAATTTAAAAATGGAAATATCGTGGGTGTGAATAGAGGAAGGGATCATTCTTTTTGAAGTATAGGACTTGATTGGTTGTGTTTGTGATTTTGGATTTTTTTGCTGTAGATTTTAGGCTGTAAATTTTTTTTTTTGCTGTAGCTGTAGATTTTAGTGTTATAGAATTTTTATTATAAATAATTTTTTTATAAAATATCATAAATAAATGTAGCATTAAAAATAAACAAAAGATATATAGGAAAGAAATATTAAAAAAATGAATATAGAGAATGAGATTAAGGAATGAGAAGAGAGAAAATTCTCAAAGTCCTTAAATTTGTGCTCTGAAAAATCTGCTCTGCAAAGCCAAAATATTTCCATATTTAAAATTATGGCTCTGAACTTCAGAAAGAAAATCAAAGCTTGATTGGTTTAACAGTAGTGTTCTAGAAACAATTATTGCTCGGCAAAGCACTCGGAGCACTTACCAATCATGCCCATTGTCCACTCATGGTTTTGATAGACTAGCTTTGCATCAGTGTTCCTCACCAGAGAATACTGTTGGACATCAGGTGTTCATCGTCAATGCATTATAATTTTTCAATCGCAAGATTCTCAATAAAAACAGTCTTGGGATAGTCCAAAATTGGTGTGAAATTCTGATATACTATTCAAACTTTCTAGGATTACAAATAATTAGAAGAAAGTTTAGTACTATGTCGAAAAAGAAAATTTCATTTGATGGTTTACAACATTTTTCTTTTTGACAAATGAACTGAACATTTCCTGTGAAACCCTTCATTATTTCACTTCTGCTTCATAATTTTGGGCCTCACCAACAATAACTCAGCCCATCCATTTCTAAGACGATGCTAATAACCAGCTCAATAATCAAGTGTAACCGAAAACTTAACCGGAGATTTGACCTAACCGAGATCGACAACAGAGAAACAAGAACTATTTGGTGGGGAACTAAAATCTTAGTGGAAATCTAACTATTTTGGCAAGATCTCAAAAGTCATAATTCATAAACGTTTTTGAAGAGTAAATCAAAACACTAACAAAGTTACAAAACCAGTCAAACATGAGATGAAATTAGAAAAAAAACTGCTTCATTAATTTCTTTAAATTGTTATTATCATCATTTAATTGCTTACCTCTAAATAAACACACAAATCCAAAATTAAACAGATAATACAATTTATACAAAATCCTAATCTCTTCTTCATCATCAATCATCATCACTGTTCTTCGGTTCCTCCGCTTTACTCTCTCAGTCTCTACTTAAAAAGCTTCCTCCTCTTCAGAGAATCTAAACTAAACGCATACAAAGAACAAACAAAAAAGTCGCGTTTCCAAAACGCCGCTTTCGAATCTCTGCGTTTACTTTTTCCGGCGATGGCTCTTCAAGCCACTACTACTACTTTCTGCTTCTCCGGTCATACTCTCCGATCAAATCCTCCCGACTCACTAACTTCAAAGCGTCGCTTCTCCTCCATCAAAGCTTCTTCATCTTCTTCTTCAGGAATCTCTTCTCCTCCGCTTCTCTCGCTTTCACGATCTAATCTCATAGGTGAAAAACCTCAGACTCGAATTATCTTAAGATTTCTGTGTCACATTTTCGAAATTCTCCTGAAATGCTGAAATTGCAGAGTCTCATTTGATCCCAAACTTGTTCGATCTATGTCTCTTAAGAAGAATTGAATCAGAAATATATACATAGAGCATAGTTTATTTTTTTTTTCTGTTAAAATATAGCATAGTTTAATTATTAAGTGTTACATAACAAAGTGTCAATTTTTGCACATATATGGATATTTTCTGAGAAATTAAACTACATTAGTGTTCTATACATGTCACTGAATCAAAAGTTGTTGAGAAAACAGTTCTTTTTTTTAGGTTTGTCCTGTGACTGTGACTGATACATTTTTGCTTATAAATTTGCATAGATATTGAATTTTCTGAGAAATGAAACATTCAATTGAATTGCATTGTTGCTCTATGCATAGCATTGAAGCTAAAGTTTTCTGTTTTTTTTGGCTTTGTGTTTACATTTTGGTGTTTAAAGGAAGAGCCTTTTTTAGATATTGATTGAATTGCAGCTAAAGTTTTGTAACTTTGTTTGTTTTTGTAATTTGGCTTTGTCCTGTGACTGACTGAAACGTTTTTGCGTTTATAAAGGAAGAGCATTTTCTAGTGATGGCTCAACGCAAGAGTCTCCTTCTGTGGTATGTTTCGGCGAAATGCTGATCGATTTCGTACCGACGACGAGCGGTCTCTCTTTAGCCGATGCACCAGCGTTTAAAAAGGCGCCGGGCGGTGCGCCTGCGAATGTAGCCGTAGGTATCGCTCGCCTCGGTGGTTCATCAGCTTTCATTGGCAAGGTGAAGGCAAAAAGTTTGTGTTTTTCTTGTTTGATTCACTAAAAAGCTCTGATTTTTTTTTTTCTTTTATCTTTGAGTTCTTGAAAATATGTGAATGTGTGTTTATGGGTGACACAGGTTGGTGAAGATGAGTTTGGTTATATGCTTGCTAATATTCTGAAGGATAACAATGTGAACAATGAAGGGATGCGTTTTGATCCTGGAGCTAGAACTGCTTTAGCGTTTGTGACTTTGACGAGCGAAGGCGAGCGCGAGTTCATGTTCTATCGGAATCCTAGTGCTGATATGTTGTTACAAGAATCTGAGCTTGATCTTGATTTGATTAAAAAGGTAAACTTTGATTAGATACAATGCAATAATACTAAACATTTTCTTGAAAGAATGGATATGACTGATTGTTCTTGAATCTGATCTTCTTGCTGCTATTGTTCATGTCTTTACATTATCTCATCTGAAAAAGGTTTCGATTTTCAGTTGTTTCTTGAAAGAATTATGTGTTTTCCTGAAGTGGTTTCATCATATACTATTTGCTTTAATGTCCTTTTATGTCTCCATCTTGTAGCAACTAAACCGGTTTCTGCGTCATTTCATTGTGCTTTTGATCTTTTCGACAGGCGAAGATATTTCATTACGGTTCGATAAGTCTAATCACAGAGCCGTGCAAGTCCGCACACATTGCTGCAGCAAAGGCTGCTAAAGAAGCTGGTGTGATTCTTTCATACGATCCGAACCTTAGGCTCCCGTTGTGGCCGTCTGCAGAGAACGCTCGTGATCAAATTCTGAGCATTTGGGACACTGCTGATATCATAAAGGTGTTCTTGGTTCTATCTACTATGTACATTTGTGTGTATGAATCTTCCCCTTCCGTTCTCAACTGAAACTTTTGCTGTCTCTGTTTTGAAGATAAGCGAAGAGGAGATTGAGTTTCTAACGAAAGGAGAAGATCCGTATGATGATACTGTCGTCCGCAAGTTGTTCCATCCTAAGCTGAAACTACTTCTTGTCACCGAAGGCCCTGAAGGTTGTCGTTACTACACCAAGGTGTGTTACCTACTACTACATCTTTAGTCTTGATACTATGCATCTTTAGTCTTGATACTATGCATCTTTAGTCTTGATACTACACCAAGGTTTTTGAAATCTTGATGAAATCTTTTGCCACTTTTACAGGATTTTAGCGGGAGAGTGCGTGGACTGAAGGTGGAAGTAGTGGACACGACTGGTGCTGGAGATGCGTTTGTTGCCGGAATATTATCTCAACTATCCCTAGATCTCTCCTTGCTTCAGGTAATGATCTCTTTCACTTGCCTCATTTGGACTGGAGAGTAGCAAGACTGTAGCTGGTATTGAGTTCTTGTTCTTGGTTGTGTTTGATTCAGGACGAAGAAAGACTGAGAGAGGCTCTACTGTTTGCGAATGCGTGCGGAGCCTTAACGGTGAAGGAGAGAGGCGCAATTCCTGCTCTTCCCACTAAAGAAGCTGTTCTTGAGGCCTTACTCAAACCTGTCATCTAAACAAATGTAAGCAAATTTGGTTTTCTTTTTCTTGTTTCTCTAATCTGTAATTGTTGTTGTAACATAATGTAACCATCCATTGTTTTGAAGCTAGTAGCTAGCTTAACTAAGCTAAAGCCTATTACATCGTTTGATCATGCTCGGTTTAGTCCCTGGTCCGACCATACCGGTAAAATAAAATCTAAAACCGGTGTTCTCAAATAGTAAACCACTAATATTTTTCACACTTAAAATACTTCTTCAGTTTCTTGCAAGTTGTAACTATATAAAGTCTATAACATTTTCTCTAGAAACAATCATACTCTTCAAACTCCGTTACTCCAAGCATGGCAAGAGCAAGATGACTCTTCATCTCAGATTTTGTTCGTTGCAACTGCGGATAACAGTCGATTAAACCCGAAAGATTCTTCGATTTCTTCCGACTCGAAATCGTCATTAGCTCTAGTGTTTTCACTTCATCACCTTTCAAGATTGAAAGAATCTCCTTCATCACAGGTCTACGAGACTCCTCATTGATCACACAAGCTTCTGCAGCTCGAATCATTCGATCTATCGAAACTGAGTTTCTTCTTTTACATTTCATCGTTGGATCAATCAACTCCTCCATAGCTTCCATTCCTCTATGCAACAATGGTTTCGCCTACAAAAAAAAAAAAAAAAGCATCGTTTTCAATAGCATTCTTTAACCAGAAAAATGTAACTCAAACGAGCTTGACCTAAACCTAAATTTAGTAAGTTGAAATCACAAATCAAATGACATTTATTAGTTTGGAAATTAGGATTAACTTTCCTTTTATAGAAAATTAGTAGAATTTAAGTTGATACAACTACCAAATAGTCAATAAGTTGGTTTTACTAGTAGATAGTTAGTTGTTGATGCATACACTTATGAGTTATGACTTACCCAAACTACCAAATTTTGTTCACCAGATGGTCTTCTTGCTTCAATTGGTTTACGACCTGTTATTAACTCAAGCAACACGACTCCGAACGCGTAAACATCGGTCTTGTCAGATATCTTGCCGTGTTGGAAATACTCAGGAGCTAGATAGCTGCAAGAAGTTCCAAAACTTTCAAGATCCTTATAGAATTAGTTTATGAGATCGATCAAGAAGATTTTTTCACGTTTGTTACCCAAATGTTCCTTTCACGGTCTTACAGAGGAAAGAAACCGATGGCGCAGCTGTCCAAGTCGCTAACCCGAAATCACACAACTGAAACACACAAAAATAACCCGAATCGCGGTTAAACAAAACAATCTTACGCTTATAAATCACCAAAAACGTTGTGTAAGTTTCATTACCTTTGGCTTTTTGTTTGATGAAAGAAGAATGTTGGAAGGTTTAATGTCTCTATGCACAACACATTGATCGGTGCCACTATGTAAATAGGCTATAGCATCTGCAATGCCTAAGGCAATCTTGTACCTTGCGGACCAAGGAAGGCACAACGAGGTGTTCTTATCTAATTCGAAACAAAAACGAGCAAAAACCTAAAATCTCTAGACATAATTTGCAATCCAATGATCAAGGAAAGAAGAGAAGAGATCTTCTGAAGTTGTAAATTACCGTGTAAATAGTGTTCAAGGCTACCACCAGAGACATACTTGTACACCAAGAAAAGCCCTTGTTCTTGATCGATACAAAACCCTAGAAGAGGCACAATGTTTTGGTGTTGAAGAGAGCTTGCAATCATCAACTCTCTACAGAACGACTTTGGAGTTTCTTTATCTTCCTTGTCAAGTCTCTTAATAGCCAATGCTTTACGCCAAAACCCCATTTTGCCCCTAAACACGTAGCTGCAAGCTCCTCTTCCCAACACTCTCCCTAAACCAAATTCACACAACAAAAAGTCATCAACTTTCTTTCCATTTCAAGAATCTAACATATCAAATTCTGTAAGAGTTTGGGACTTTTAGGGTTTACCTTTTGAGAAATTGCGAGTGGCGGTGACGATTTCGCTGTAACTAAACCTGACCAAAGTATTAGCTACCGGAGAAATACCTTTCTCAAGCGAAAGAGACTTTGACCAATTCATCTCCTCCGTCGATTTCTCTGTATCATTCTCAAGATTCACTAGGAGAACCGTCGCCGATCTTTCAGACACCGGAAAATTCTGACAAGAAGACGACGAAGAAGGTTCCTCCTTTTTCATCTTCTCAAGCTCTAGTTGCGAGCAAAGACTAAACCTAAACGATGAGTGTACCGAATATGGGTCTGAGTCCATGATCTTCGGTCCTGTCTCCTCCAAAAGCCAAGCTTTGTTGTGTTCTTGAGAGCTTGTTGCTCTGTTTCGATGAGAGAGAAAACAAGAAAAACCAAAATCAAAAAACATTTTTTTTCTGTTCTTTTTCATTTGGGTTTTGATTACTGAAGAGATCTAAAGAAGATCAACAAATCAAATTAGCCAGAAAACAAGAAGAGAGAAAAAGGCAAAGAGAGAGTGTGACAACAAGAATTCTCTTTTTTTAGTTGTTGAAAAGTGAATATTTGATTCTTTGAAGCTTTGCTTTTAGCATCTTTGGATTTACAAATGAAACCAAAATAATGTATTGTTTGTTGTTGTTGGTGTGATGTAGGAGAAAGAAAAAGATCGGAGAGGGGGAAGATAATTGTGAATAAATAATTATTTTGAATAATTGTTAGGATTACAGTTGGAGAAGATAATTGGGTATTAATTTATTGTTTGAATCATTGTTAGAACGATTAGTTCTTATTTATATAGAAAGATTAGTTGGTAAAAGCTGTTGTTAAATGCTCAAAGAAGTACAAGACCAGAGCCCACGACCACGAGAAGAAGAGAGTCAATTAATTCAAGGAATCTAGTATTTAGTATTTTTTTTTCCTTTTTAAAAACACTTTTTAAAGAGTTATACATAAAAAAATGTTTCAAGGGTTATTTAGATGACCATATTCAGGGGCTAGATAGATAGATAGCCTTACTTTTATTTTTGCAAAAAAAAAAAAATTGTTTCATTGGGATGCGATTTTACTTAATAACATGTAAAACAAAGTATTATTTTCCTTAAAAAACACATGATATTTAGAAAAAAATTACTTCTTTTCGTTTTTTTTTTGCAAATGGAAAGTAGTCGTCACCTAATTTAAAATTGTTGAGTCATCTAGTGCAATTGCCTAAACTTTAAATCCCTTTGATTAGCTGACAAAACCAAGAAGGTGACCAGTTTGATGATGCAATTCAAACATTGGTCAACCGTTGAAGAAAGATTAGTTAAATCATCAATCTACCTCTTTCCATCGTTTTCTTCTTAGTTTCTTGGTGGTATCAAGAATTTTAAGCCAAGAAGAAAAGTATAAAGGCCAGCGGACCATAATGGTATATTAAGCCCGTTAAAATATGTGTTTGTAATATAAGAGAGTGGAACAAGTTAGGCAAGAAATAATGAAATATCCAAATATAGTAAACCTAAACACTATACTGTCTTGCAAAATCACTTTCCTAGATTTATATACTAAACCTAAACACTGAAAATCACTTCAATTTTTTCTAATTTACAAAAACGTAGAAAATCCAAATGTATATGATGAAACCTTTTTTTTAAATAGTTTTTAGTCTTTAGGCAATAAAAGTATTAACTTGTTTTCATATGAGTATGACCCATATATAGGAGCTATGTGTCATGGTCTTTTTTTCTTGTACAGGCTTAGCCTTAGCTTAGCCTATTTTTTTGCCATTGTTAAGTCAGTCACATTTCAATATCAAATACAGTATTTGGGCTTTTCAAATATTGGCATAAGAAAGAAAATCTCTATCTCAAGAATTTTCTTCAACAAATTAACATCAACTAAGCAGGAATTTCACGTTCTAAAAAAAATCCCCGATTTTTCTGATTAATCGTTCGGTTAATCACTCTAAGAGGGGTGACCGTGGCGATTTTCGCTAATCAATGATACTATTTAGTCAAACATTGTTTGACCGATTTTATCAAATTTATTACAAAAATCATCGAATTCAAAAAATCGATGGACCAAATCTATATTTTTATGAAAACTGTTTGACCTAGTTAATAATTGTCTGTATATATGGCCCAAAAATGTAAGTGCATATTGTTTAGAGTTATTAACCAGAAAAATATGTGACTAATTGTTTCTAACAAATTAATTTGGGGATTTATCATCTAAATATAAAATAGAACTATTTTTATCTATATTGTAGAAGATGTGAATTTGGAAAAATATCTAATATACGTTAGAAATATATAATTTTCATACTAATTTGTCATCTTATATATAAAATATTTAATAATATATTAAAATATATTTAAATTTCTGCTTCGGTTTAACATCGAATTATTAGCGATTTTTCATCTAAAAAATCGCTAATCGCTATCCGACTGAATGATCAGGAATTAGCGAGATTTTGAACACAAACACCTTCCTTTATACTATAGTGAATTTGCCGACCAAAACATAGTATAGTTAATATACGATTTAAAATAGAGTTAGTGTATTACATAGTTAATGGATAGATGTTAACTTGTTTGGTTGGATGCGAATTTTTAATATCAAACAAGACAAAACAAAAAGCAGAAAGTTATCAAACTATCTTCAGCTTATCAGAACTACGAAGCCTGATTACAACAAGATCAAAAAGTTTGACTAAAACATTAAAGAAGAAAATGTAAAGTAAAACAAGTTAGATTAATATCACGGAGTGTGGAAGGTATTTCGGGATATGAAGTGTGGTAGTTTAAAGGATGAGTCTACTTTGTAGCATTTTGGTGTGTTTCTACCTACCGAAACTAACCAGAAACCGATAAAGTCTATAAAAAATATATATATATATATATATATATATATATATATCACGGAGTATTTTACTCCTAAGTCGACGTGTCAGCTAGAGAAATGAAAGTAAGAAGCAGCTTCGGAGAAAATATATGAATCATGGAAACAAAATATAAAAAAAACAAAGATGAATCATCGAAACATTTGATATAGAAAAAGATAAAATTTGATCATACATTACATGGGAATCAAAAAGACGTGTAGATTAGCGGAAAGTACGGCGATGCTTTTGCTTCTTTGTTCTTTGCTTCTCTTAATCAATAAAATATTTTGGGTTTATATAAAGTCTGAGTCCATTAGTTTCACCTTACTGCCAGCTAACAATCCCGATGAGTTTACTCATAAATATTGTAATATACACACTTTAATTTACTTTCATTCATTTTTATATCACTCCAAAAGATAATGATTTATATGATATGAGATCCATAATTTTCCCCAACATATAGATTTTTTTCTTTGCCAAATTTTAAACTTAATTCTCAAATTTACGATAGTTTAATTAATTACAGTGGTCAACTACATTTGATGACAAGTTACTACCAAACGCCAACGTAGTGAATAAAACAACTTTAGTGATAACTTTTTCACATCAATTGTAATGGTGTAAGTTTGTAGTATTATGTATGTGAGGACTCGATCGAACTGATTAATATTTTAAAAGATAGATAAACAACACTAAATTATACTGAAAATAAGTAAATATTCAAATGAAAATAAGTAATTTTTACTAGATCTTAACAAATATGATTCAAATGATTATAGCGGAACAAACTGAGCTATGTAAAAATGGTGAAATATGCCCAAAAAACAGAACAAGTGCGGTTTGAAAAATTGGTGGAAGTTACAGACACAAAAACACAATGAAATAGTATAAATATGTGAATTATAATAGTTATCAGTTACCAAAAATAAAATGATAACCGTTACTAATTTTAACTAGTTACAATAATCTAAAAGGTGTCATATATAACCCATTAAAAGTATTCAAATTATATTAAAATATTTTGAACACACATGTATATATTAGAATGATTCAACTACTGGAAAGTGATGGTCATTATCCACAGGTGTCATAACAGAACACACGTAGAAAAAACTACTATAATAAGTAAATCGACAAAATTTGCAGTGTTTAAGATTAACATTGAACTCAAATGAATCTCTCAATTTTTTTTTTTTGTTCCAAAGACTCATTTGGATCTCATGATCTTGAAAGAACAGAGAAAACTGAGAGTCCATACACAAAGACAGTAAAAACTTTACAAGGGTTAATACACCTTTACCAACACTGAGAACTATACGTTTTAGGCATGCAACTTCAACAATGCTTTTCAAGTTAAGAAGTATGACTTCAAAGCTTCAAACTCATAGAATTATTAAATGAAGATAACCATTGGGTTTGATCTAATGCCAACAATTCTTTTTAATCAGTTAATCAAATTCTATAAATAAATAAAATATAAAAGATCTTAAAAATACGTCATCAGATTAAATAGAATATTAGACATAACCACTTATATAAACCTTTATCATCACATAACTACACAAAAACATTGTCTCTCTTTCCCTACCAATAGACAAACCTTAAAGCCACTTCTCATCAACGAGAATCACAAAAAAAACCCTAAAATCCCACTTCTCAAAAACATCTTAAACTTATTAGTGTCTAATGGCACTCGTTAATGACCGTTCCAACGAGCCTAGTTACATCATCAAACAAAACTCCTCCTCATCCGAAGATCTCTCTTCGCCGGAGAATTACGGTTTGGATCAGCCGGAGGCAGCTTATGCTGGTGGAGGAGGAGGAGCTACCGCTTCGAGTAGTAGCACCATGAATTCAGATCATCAAGAAAATCATCAAGGGTTTGTGTTTTACCCATCCGGTGAATCCGTTGAAGATCACAACTCTTTGATGGATTTCAACGGATCATCATTTCTTAACTTCGATCACAACGATCATCATGAGACCTTTCCTCCTCCGGCCATAAGCTGCGGTGGTAGCAGTGGCTTGTCATTCTTGGAAGGCAACAACATGAGCTACGGCTTTACAAATTGGAGTCAACATCATATGGATATTATTAGCCCTAGACCCATCGAAACTCCGGGGACAAACCAAGGCCATAAAGACTGGTTATACTCTGATTCAACTGTTGTAACCACTGGTTCTAGACACGAGTCTATGTCACCAAAACCAGCTGGAAACAAACGTTCTTACACGGTAACTACAAACGCCAAAGACTTTGTCAACATTTTCATTTAAGTGATATCAATGAAAATGATATATGTTATCTTGGCATTATGGATGATAGGGGGAGGGCATTCAACCGCCTTCAAAGAAACCGAGGAGCGGCACGAGTGGGAAGGCCAAGGCTAAGCCAACAAATTCACCTAAAGATCCACAAAGCCAAGCAGCCA